GGTAGGGAAAGCTAAGGAAGACCCGGATGAGGGGTCTGAAAACAACTCTCATCTAGAAAAGGAAAGAAAACTATCTGACCATGAGGGGCCGTGTGGTGCTCTCATGTGGAAACAGGACAGACGCCGGAAAACAAGATGGCGCAATGGTTGTCGCCCCCTGTCTACTCTAGTGGTCCGGAGATGCCTATAGACGTAGGGGAAGGGGTATCTGTTGTTCTCCGAGAAGAAGAAACATGGAAAGACCTGGAGCCAGCCTACGAAACTGTGATGCTGGACGAAAAGGACGCGTTCCTCTGGATAGAGACGGTTTGGACCAAGGTTAGCTTGACGAGACTTTCACCAAGCTTAATGGACCTAGAGTTCCGGGGGACGGTGGAAACCCGATGGTGGGTCTACCTATCCCAGGACCTGGAAAACGAAGTGGTAATAGGGCTGGTCCTGGGCACGGCACCGAGTCAATTGTTTAGGCAAGCGGAACGGGAAGTGGTGTGGGCGGCATGCCAGCGGGCAGAAATGGAAATTGATAAGATAGAGGTGCGGGTGGAACTTGGGGACAGGGGAAATATGAGGCGACCCCTTAGGACAATGAGGTGTGTGCTGCCTCCGTTCTTGATGGACGCCGTTTTTAGGACCAGAGATAGGCTGGACCGGATATGCCAATCAATGACACATCTAAGGCTGTACCAGTGTGCCCGGCAGGACTTCTTTAGGTTGTCGGTGAAAGTGGGACCATTCGAAGGGAATTGGAGGGAAGAGCTAGCTAAGATGCTAAACCTCCTCAGCTCGGGTGAGGTCTTTGTTCCTAGTACAGTGCACTGAAAGATAATCTATCGAAATGTGGCGGCTGGTGAAACATTCTTAGAGGGAGTGACAGAGTTGTTCTTAGGCGAGGAGGAGGATCTCAGTGATGAGGAGGATGGGAACGAGATAGAAGACTGAAATTTTTGAAAGGGGAAGAGGGACTTATTCGGGAACGGGCTGTCGACTATGTGCAGGTAGGAAGTGATGGCCCGGGAACTCCAGCTCTGGGATTGCACATGGGAACCAAGACGAGTCGGGAGGGGAGTAGAGATGTCTATACCACCAAGCAACGAATGGAAAGGGACCACATGTGACTGGCGGGGGTATGAGATTGTGCCGGAACTGTCATATTTACGGATAGAACGTGTTTGGAACCCACTAAGGGAGGAGGAAGGATGAAAAGATATTGATGAAGGGAGAGTGGAATCGGTAGGGACGGTAGTTCTCTCCGAACAAGGGTGACATCTGTTTTGCACAACGCTTGCAGCTGGACAAAATCCGATGTGGCTTCTAGGGGATGCCGAGGAAAGGGCTCGGCAGGCCGGGGAAAAGTTTGCCAATAAGGGCTGGGATGAGGTCAGTAGTAGAGTCGTAATGGGAGTGCGGAAGGAGTTTAAACCGCCTGGCACCCGAACCAAGACTTGGGTGTCTGAGTTTGTGGCGGATTGGTTCAGGGGTTTTGATCATGTAACAGAGGCAGCCGATACGTTGGAACGGGTACACGTGACCTGTGCCTGGTTGGCAGAGGAATTGTATAGGACGTCCTTGAAGTTCGGGCCCTTCGAGGGGGATAGAGACTGGGAGGTCCTTATCATTTTGGATATCGAAATGAACGACCGGCAGGAGGTGGCCTCTGAAATTAGGGAGACAATAATTCGCCGTGAAGTAGCCGCCACACCCTACTACATAGATGATGTGTTTAAGCTGTTCGAGGTGTTGTGGTTTGACTAAGAGGAGGAAAAATGAGGGTCGGACAAGTATAAGAACGAATTGCTAAAAGGATAAAGGGATGGAATGTCTGGCTATTGTAGGACTCGGGGCGGATCGCGAGCTAGGAGACCAAGAACTGGTGCGCAGATGGCGCGAAGGCGGGCGTTTCTTGGGAATCGCCCCTTAGGCATCGAGCCGCCGAGGGAAGTGTCGGGTGGAATACAGGTCAGTCTGCCGGCGTCAAGCGAGGGTTGGCACCCGGTGGCGGATTGGGTTGGGGTGGAACTTGTGGAAAACACGGTTTACTTAGTAACGAGAGTTGGGTGGCGCGCGGATGAGAATGGGGAGTGGAACCCGGATCCGCGGGGGCATGTGTGTGAGGAGGGGCGATTGTATATGTCTGTGGATGGGTGGCGAGAGTTTGGAGTTTTGTTAGCGTCAGGGGAGGATCCGTCAGAAATGTTTGAAGGGGCATGGCAGCTTGTGTGGCAGGCAGGGTTTGAATTCGTAGATTTGGAGCAGGATGAGGTAACGACGGACCTTAGGATAGCCATGGCCGGGAGCTTTGAGTTGCCTTGTGAGAATGTGCGGATGAGGCTGCCACCCTTTCTGCCAGAAAGATTGGGCGGCGTGGAACTTGTTAGGAGGGCAGTGGCCGACCTTGCCAACTTGATGTCTGAGGACGCGATGGTATATCGGGAATATTATCGGGCCTTCCTAGAAATGGGACTGTTCAGCGGAGAGTAGAGGTATGAGGTGTTGCGCATCCTGCGCTGTGTTTACCACTAGATCTAGGGTTCCGGTCGTCCGCAACGAAGTCTTGTGGGGTATCGTCCGACGGGAAATAAGTCAAGGAATGGCGTACGTAGATGACCTGTACCGATTGTATGAGCCTATGGAAGTAGGAACAGACCGGTAAGAGGGCTAATGAATAGGGGAGGAAATAGGCCTCAAGCTAAGAACTGGGGGGTTGTTCTGGCAGGGGCTGAAGATTGAATGAAATAAGTAAACTCGCTTGCTGTCTAAAACTGTGCAGGGGATTACTAAGTGAGAATGGCGATGAGACGCGCCCGGATTTCGCGGCAACCCACGCACCCGCGGCCGCCCACAGAAAGCGGAGGCGGATAGGAGGTGTCGCTCCCAGCAAGCTACATGGTCCGAGGACTCGATACTGAATGGAGGGCTGTAACCTTGGGAAGGGGTCAGACGTTTATGATGGTGGAATGTCTATGGGACTATATAAGGATTAATAGGGGACCAGGGGACTATTTGTATACGGACCTTAAGGTGACGGGGACCGTGTACCTGCCTGAACTTGGGTGGCACATGTTAGGAACAGAGCTGGCACTAGGGCACCGGCTGCTACCAGTCTTCCGGAGGGCTACTAGGATATTGAACCGAATAGGCCAGGATGTGCAGGGGAGAAGGAACATAGGGTTGAGAACTCGGGTGGAGGTAGGTGGTTGGCGAGAGTTTAAGGCACCAATGACAGGACTGAGATGCCGAATGCCTCGCTTCATAATAGACTTGGTATTCGGCAGTCTCTCAAGGGCAAAGGATCTGGTGGACTCGACCCGTCTGAACCGACCACTTCCGACCACAAACGACGGGCATGTTCTACGATGTGTCGGTTAGACATGGGCCATTTTGGGGAAACCAGGCCTGGGAATTACTCGAACTCATCGAAATCTTGATATTCGATTTGCCCCATCTATCATTCGAGGAATATGAACCAATAAGTGTCAGGGAAATTGAGAAGGGGGAAAATTACCTTGCCGGGGTGGCTAACTTGTTCGAGGATCTGGACGAACAAGGCAGGCCTGAGGAACCGACATGAGGAAAAGCACCAGGAAAAGGATGGGAAAATAAAGGACGGGTATTAAGATAAGAAGACAACTATCAGAAGAAAAAAAAAAGGGGGCAGTGGTTGGAGTTCCTCCTTGCCGGACGATACAGCAGGAAGGAAATGGGAAGACCACTCGCACCAGGGATACTGGGGTATCTAGATGTCAAAAAAGCCAAAAGGTTTAATCCCTGATAGGAGAGCCACTGTGCTCAGACACCCCCTAAGAGTCGAGGTGCGGCGGTAATAAAATACAACACCTCGGCGACAAGTCTCTCGGCCAACGAAAAATTGAAAAACGCCCTTGGAAAGAAAAATTCTGAAGGATCGTTCCGACTAATGAAAGACGGAAAAAGCATAAGAACAGGTGGACTTTAGGGCCGGGACAAGGGAAGTTATGAACAATCGGCCATTCTTCGGAAAAAAAAAATTCATGTGTAGGCTAGGGAATGGCGTCGGAAGAAGAGATTGAGGACAAGCAGAGCAGAGGCAGTCAGGGTACGAATAGGGACGGGGAACGAAACGAGGGGTCAGTAAAGGATCGAGAGTCAACAAAACCAGAGGGAACAAGAGAAGATGGAAAGGACCTTTCAACAGGGGAAAGCTCGGGGAAAGCAGAGGGTAGCAAAAGGGGACCTCAGGAAAACAGGAAAGGGAGAAACGATACGAAAACAAGTCCTCGGAACTCGGCAGGGACCACTCCCAAAAAGACGAAAGTCTCGGACACCCGCCGTAAACAAGCAGAGATAGAAAGGCGGACCGCAAAATTTAAGGCGAAACTTATTGAGCAGATGATGGTCGGAAATGAGGTGGATCCCTAAGGTCTTGGGTCACGAGAGGGGCATAGGACCAGTCAGGGCGAGGCCAGGTATGAAGAGAAGGATAACAGTCATAAGGGAATGCCTAGCAAGAAGGGGAAGGACAAGGACGACTACCCGGCGGAAGGGACGGAAAAGGCTACGACCTCGCCGGCCATCGACAGCGGCGCTAGCCGACTGCCCCTACGCCCAAAGTAACAAGGGCGTGTGACGAACTCTGGAGCCTCAGGGAAAGGGTACTAGGTTGGTTTGATCCGAAGGGAACGCCAAAGACCGGGGAGAAGCAGAGGGAAAGCAAGGAAGGGGAAGGGACCAGTGTCGCTGGAGAAGGGGATAACTTCGAAGGCGGGCTCTGGAGGATAGTTACCACCCTCACCCGGGCACTAAATAAGAATCAGGGGTACCTCGCACACGCAAAGAAGAAACTCACGTTCGATGGGGCAAACATCACGGAGTTTGTAATAGACTACGAAACCTGGCAGCTTTATTGAAATGGACGGAGGAAGAGAAGATGGACCACCTAGGGCAACATGTGTCGTTGAGTTTGGGAAAAGACATTATGTCTATCGTCGCGTCTAGTGGATCCTGAAAAGAAACTCGAAATGAGATGATGAGAAAGTATCTCAAGGYAGAGAAAATGGCAACAGAGGCCGAATTAGCAGCAGTCCAGAGGAAAAACTATGCGACTTACAACGATTTCCTAAGGGCGTTTACGTTAGTGGCTCTGCGAATTCCCAGGGTAACGGACCGTATAATGAGTAAATACTTCCTCAGRCAGTTTTCCGAGTTTGATAAGGATAAGATTTTGTCWGCCTACCAGCAGACCAGCAAGTTCGAATACACGAGGGACGTGGATTTCAGCACCRTAACAGACCTTGTCGAAAAGACAGTGGTGACCGAGACGCTAGCCCTACTTAAGGAAGGGGAGGTTATAGACCTGACAGGRAAAACGGGAGGTAAAGTCAAGAAAGGGATAGAAAGTCTGCACGAGCGAGTGCACGGGGTCGACAATAAGATAGAAAGAGTGAAAAACGCACTATTAGTGATGCAAGCGCAGGTGTCCCGACCCGCCTTCCCGCCTCAAGAGGCCGTAGTTCCGGCAGCAGTAGCGAATCGGGGGTATGGCAGGAAGGACCCGGCTA